CCCGTCCGGCGCCGCGGCCGCCATGGCGCAGGGGCTGCCGTGGGCCTCGGTCCCGGAGGGGGCGCGGGCGTGCGGCGTCCACGCGGGGCGGCCGCTGGAGCTGTTCTGCGAGGACTGTGAGCGCTGCGTCTGCGCCCTCTGCCCGGTCCTGGGCCCGCACCGCGGACACCGCGCCTGCCTCCTGCCCCACGCCGTCCGCCAGAAGAAGGTGAGCGCCGCGCACGGGCGCCGGGCGATGTCCCCGGGGCGTGCCTGGCCCGCGCCTCCTGCGGAGCCCCTGCGTCTCCGGGACTGCCGAGCTTCGCTGCGGGTTTGCCGCGGCGGGGACTTTTTCTGCGAGACGGGCTCCAGGGGAGCGCGGGGACGGGACTGGGGTATAACCGGGAGCTGGGACGGCCACGGGGCGCGGAGCTGCGGATACTCCTGATTTGGTTGTATTTCCTCATTTCTGGGACTGGAGCAGCTAGGTTTTCTTTGGCCAGGGTGAGATGGTGGCAGCTGTGAGTATTAGTGCAGTGGGCAGCAGTAGGCTGAGTATCTTCAGCCTGTGGCCTTGCTTTGCTTGCCTTATAAACAGGTTGTGGAGCTCAGGTTTTGTCACATCAATTTTGTAGGCCATACTGGCTGGAAGAACAAAGTTTCTGTACTTGGGCAAGTGCTTTGTGAATCCCATATGGACAGGTGTCAGCATGCTGTCACTGCACAGGGATGTAGTTTGTGCATGAGGGGGAGAGAGTTATCCAGTCACACCCCAAGTGCACGCATAACAGGAGTGTAAATCAAGGGACAGTGGGGAGGTGACATTGACTGTCAGGTCGCATGCAGCAGCATTTGCTCCTCAGACCTTCTGTGGGGTATCAGAGGAGATTGGTTGCCCAGGGGGACTTGTTTTCATTGCCAGGCTGGAAGTACCTTTGACAGAAACATGGATGCCACTGGGGGAGCAGAAAGGCCATTTCTGTTTATCCCCTTCCTCTGTTGCTGTAGCTTGCTAGACCACACTGACTCTTGTCCTGGTTTAGGCTGGAATAATTTTCTTTCTAGGAGCTGGTATAATATTTTGGGTTCAGTATGAGAAGAATGTTGATAACACACTGATGTATTTAGTTGTTTCTAAGTAGTGTTTATACCAAGTCAAGGATTTTTCAGCTTCTCATGCCCAGCCAGCAAGAAGGCTGGAGGGGCACAAGAAGCTGGGAGGGGACGCAGCCAGGACAGCTGGCTGAAACTGGCCAATGGGGTATTCCATACCATGTGATGTCATGCCCAGTATATAAACTGGGGGGAGTGGGGCTAAGGGGCAGATTGCTGCTTGGAACTAACTGGGCATCAGTTGGTGAGTGGTGAGGAATTGCATTGTGCATTACTTGTTTTATATATTCCAATTCTTTCATTATTGTTGTTATTATCATTACTAGTTTCTTCCTTTCTGTTCTGTTAAACTGTCTTTATCTCAACCCATGAGTTTTACTTTTTTTTTCTGATTTTCTCCCTCATCCCACTGGGGGGGGGCGGTGAGTGTGTGGCGGTGTGGTGCTTAGTTGCTGGTTGGGATTAAACCACAACAGTCCTCATGCAGAGAGCGTGTTCTCTGACAGCTCCTTAGGGATGGGGAGCAGGGGTTGTTGTGGGTTAATCCCAGTAGGCAGCTAAGCACCATGCAGCTGCCTGCTCACTCCCCCTCCCTTGCCCAGTAGGACAGGGGAAGAGGAAAGGAAGGCTAAAACCAAGAAAACTCGTGGCTGAGATAAAAATAGTGTAATAAGCGAAAGAGAAGTGGAAGAAGAGAGGAAGAGAACAAAATAAAACAAGTGATGCAAAGGCTCACCACCTCCCATGGGTAGACCAGTGCCCAGCCAGTTCCTGAGCAAAAGATGGCTAACCCACCTAAATCCCCTCTTCTCCATTTTGTTGCTGAGCATGATGTTGTATGTCATGGGCTATCTCTTTGGTTAGTTTGGGTCATCTGCCTGCTTGTGTCCTCTCCCAACATCTTGTGCACTTGCAGTATAGTCACATCTATAATGCAGCACCATATGAGCTACTAAGAGGAAAATTAGCTCTGTCCCAGCCACAACTAGCACAGGGGTTCTTCCCTAAGTGTTTTTTATTTATCCTAATTTAGCTGTCCATTGAGCAGCCCCAGGAGGCTTTGCACGCTTGCCCTGTACTTCCTGCTTGTGCTTTGTTTTACTCCAGAGAGCCTGCCAGAAGGCTTGCTGAGGCCTGCATGCTGTGGTGCTAAGCTTGGGAGGCGTAAGAAGTAGTAACACAGAGGTTTGATGTTCAGGAGGTTTTATTTTTTCCACCTCAATTTCAGAGAGGTCCTTCCCCCTCCTTCTCTGGTATTTTGCAGCAGTGTTACTAGGAAGTTTCCTAGTTACCACTAGGATTGTGAGCAGATGCACAGGTCATGCTAAATTCCTCTGGTGTTTTATTGCACTTCATGTGAGAGAGCAGTACAAGGGTAGAGGGCAGTACACTAGGCCTCAAGCAAACAGCAGCAGCACAGGGGAAAGACCATTGAAGATGTCAGGGCAACTCAGAGCACTGTTCCGGCCTGCTGGTGTGCTTTCATCCAAAGTATCCCGCTTGCAGCTGGGAACTCACTACAGTGTTTGCATTCCCTTCATGACACTGGGGCAATGTGTGGATGCAGGTGGTGTGCTGTGGCAACCTGATTTGAGCCAGGGTAGAGTGCACAAAGCGACAAGTTTTGCTGGTTCCCTGGGGGTCACTTGGACACAGGGGAGCAGATGCTGTTGATAACCAGTTATTTGTCTCTGTGCCAAAACAGGAAGTGAGTAGGGTAGGAACTTGGGTCCCCATGTGACACTGTCCCTAGGGGAGTCTTTGCTGACATCTACTGGCTTAAGCGATTTTGTTTGCTGGGAGCAGTTTTTCTGTGCAGCCCTTGTGATGTGACATCAGCCCAGCAGCATGCGAGAATCTTTCTCAGGGCTTTTAGCAAATCCTATCTGTGGATGCTAAGAAGAGACGAGAACCATTGTGTGAGGTCCATGAGGTCCATCAGCTCGTTCATCCCTGGATCTAAGGTTGTATAAAATCATCTGGAAGGACACTCCCTGTGCTCCTGAATGTGGGACATAGGATCAGCATGCTGTGCACTTGATATGTGTCCTGTGAGCCTGACTGGAGCTAGGAGTCTCATCTCTCAGAAATCCTTGCTGTTACAGTGTTTTCACTCGAGTGAGTTGGGGCATCCAGGCAATCCCTAAGGGAATGTTTTTGGAGTTGATTCTTCAGGGTGAATGACATGGGTTGCCTGCCTGTGTTGCAGACACAGTGTCTCCACTGCTAAGAAGCAGCTCTTTAGTTTATCTCTGTAAAGCAAGTAATGTTTAACCAGAAATGCTTTGGGTTGGCATCCAGTATTTGCATATGATCACCATTGTGAGGGACTAAGTGCCTGAGGTGGTGTGTTCTACTAGTAGGGAAGGAAGACTGGGTTTTGCTCTGTGGTCTTTGTCAGTCTTTGAGAAAAGGAATGAGGTCTAGGCTGCAAAGTAAATTGAGGAAGGCTGATACCTAGTAGAACTCCTGAATCTTCAAGTGGTGCAGAACTCTTCTGGTCTTTCAGGGACAAGACTGGAAAATTGTGGCTGGAATGGATGGCGTAACATGACTATCTTGCTCCATGCAAGAACATTTATCTGCTTGCATGGATGTGCCTGTGCCAAGGCACTTCCAGGTGCAGAGTCTCTGGCTTTTGCTGGGAGCCCATTTTCTTCTGTCTCTGTCATAATCAAATGAAAAATTGCATGTGTTTTCAAAGGAGGCAAATGTCAAAAATGCAAACTGTTGCCCATGAAGCAACACTTATGGTCAGTCAACCCTGCAGAGTTTAAATGCCATGCTGACCTGGGGATGTTGCAGTGGGCTGGTGCATATGCATGCAGGTACTCTTGACTGGGTCTCAGCTGCAGAACAGGACACTGGTAACAGCTACAGCTCTGGTGCTAGCTTACCTGTTTTTTACTGAGAGGCTCTGTTATAACACTAGTGCACTGAGAGCATGGGCCAGCATTGCTTGGCTCTTTCATGGTACTAATGAAATAAATGCATGACCAAGTGCACCAAGACTGTTCATTCTGCTGGACAGGGGACAGCTGATTCCAGAGGGCTGTGGGTGAGAAACTGTGGGGCTAGACACAGCAGAACATTAACTGTGCTGTGCTGCTCAGTGCATCTCAGGGCACGCCACAAGTATCACAGATACTATGATTAGTAGCCAAGCTGATAGTATTTGTTGTTGCAGGCATTTAGACTACAGCATCACTGTAGTGATGGTGGGGTATTTCTGATGGGTCTTTTGTACACTGGGAAGCATTTTGACTCTAGGCAGAACATCCCACTGATCCTCTGAATCAAAAGTACTTGGTTAGCTGCCCTTCAGCTGCTAAATGCACGAGCATGTAGTCTTGAAATGCACAGTGCCATAGATGTAAAGATGAAAAGGTTTTTTTCACCATAGGTTTGCCTGTTCCTTATAAAGGTGGTACTAATTTGCACAGCTCTCTGAGTCTTACCAGTATAACCACCAGGAGCAGGTGCAGGTGAAATGCTGAAATCCTTACATTTCATCACTACTGGCCTTAATAAGCCTCATAAACTGAGTGTTTCAGTGACATACTCCCCTATATGGAAAGCAAGCGGGATACGGAATTCTGGCTTTTACAGATGTTGTTATGAAACAGTGTTTTATTTTGGTTTTGTTGCTGTATAGGAACTCATGGCATTGTGTTTGAAGGATCTAGAAGAGAGAAAAGAGCAAGAAGCTGGTAACAGAAGGAGCATAGAGCAGGCCGCTAATGATCTGAAGGTAAAGTGTGGTTTGCTTCTCCACTGGATGGTCATTTTCCAGGGAGAGACATTTTGCTTTCTCTGTTGCTCAAAGAGCCTGGTAGCTCCTCTGCAGCTTCAAAGACCCAGGCAGCTACTGCTTCTCAGGAAAAGAGTGTATTCCCCGTATCCATCACAACATATTACTGTCAAAGGGAGAGAAGAAGGAAGAGTTTCCAAAGGCCTGGCCCTCACTCTCAGATCAGCCAAACATCTCTGGGAGAACAATGTTGAATTTTTTTGCAGAGGAGTAGTAAATAGCACCTGCTGCATATGTTATTCTGGCTTCACTGATGTATATTGTATTGCACTGAACTGCATTATTGAACAATCTGACTTCAGAGTTAAATAAACAAAAGAACAGTTCTACTGATTCTGTCTTAAGAATGGGAATGTGTGCTAAGCTCTACCTCATTTATAGAGCATGAAACAGTGCATCTCTAAGCATCTCTGTTACAGAAACATTAGTAAGAGCTGGAGGGAGCTCTGTAGAGGTTTGGGACCTTGCGGTTTGATGTCACTTCATTTTGGAGGCTTTCTTTTTCTAGCAGTTCCCTGTCCCTAGCTTGCTTTAAAAGGGGGCAAAGTGTTGCTACCGAAGGACCAGGTCTGCTGGTTGTAGCAGTTGGCACCTGACCCTGTTACACTCCAGCTGAAAACAATGTTTTCTACATAAATAGGCATGTTGGAATCTGCTCTCAAGCTTTTCCACCCAGGATATCAGTAGGTAAATCCTGGCTGCACTTCCCTTAAGGGCTGAACGCTCATTTCTCAAGAGGTGCAGCAAATGAGTAAAATTCAACCAAAATGTAATGTTGAAAGCCTGGGAGAGAAATGCCTGAAATGTTTATGGTCTGCTGAGTATGGGGGGACACTCTTCTGCTTCATCTATAGGCACATGCCATTATGAGCAAAAGGCAGCTGTCAGACAGTATGACTGAGCTCCTGTTGCTACTTCAGGAAGAGGAGAGTCTGGCAAAAAACTTCATTGATGAAAAGACTCAACAAGCCCTGGAAGCACATGATAAGCAGTTGGAGTCCTGTCGAGAAAAGCTTGCAGCCCTGGAGACCTTCTCATGTCGAATCAGACAAATACAACAGCACAGTGATCCTGTTCAGTTGCTGGAGGTGGTATTTTATGGTCTCTTTCAACCTCTTATCCTCCTAGTCCCTGGTAAACTGCTCTAGTGATCACCTCAGTAGATCTTTCTGTATGTAAGCAGCATCTTTCTCACTGATTTTTAATCTTCTTTTTGCTGGTATTTTGGTGGACCAGTTTGGTTCCTGATTTTTGAGCTGTTAGGTGTTCTTGCTATGGCATTGATTTCAGGTCTGTATGAAATTCATGTTAATTTTAAGCATATATGGAACAGAGTTATACGTGTCTCTTAATCTTGAAGACAAATGCTGTATCAGGTCTTTCCTTGTGCGGTGTAATATGAAGGTCTGAGAAAAGGCAGCCCTCTCGGGAACCTAAGGAGGAAGGCTAAATTGTCTCATTTCTTTAATTGCAAGAGATCCTAATCACCCTGAGCAACAGCCATCATTTTACTGTGGGAGCAGCTCGGAACACCTGGCATTTGTTTTCAAGAATGAACTGTTAGAATTTGTTGTGCTGCATGTTTGCCAAGCCTTTGAAGAACTAGTTTTACAAGATGAGGTTGGAGGATGGCCTTGTGTATGCCTGGGAAGATGTGGCTGAAGACAGTCACGAGTATGTGTATGGAATGTTTTTATCTTTAACTGTTCTGAGGACTGGCAAACATCCCAGCTGAGCCAGATATGTGCTCCTGTGTTAGTAGTATTGGCTGTATGCCATTAGTTCTTTCTAGATCTTTGCTGAAACATATATAAGTTTGATCCTTCAGTGAAATAAACGGAATCTTGTACAGATAGCTTGAGCGCTTAATTCAGTCGCGGCAGGGAGGCAGTGGTTTTGGTTTTGTGTACAGATAAATGTCAGCTTCTCTTTCCTAATGGTCTTCTTCACTTTCCTTGGGAAGGGTGTGTTGCCATATGCTTATGCCCTGACACAAGTCAAAGGATGCCATTCTTCACAGGAAGGCATTTTTACATCCTTGCAACTTAGCAGACTTGAGAGTCTTCGTTGTTGTGAGTGATATGGCCCTGGCACTCCGCTGTGTGTGCTAGCAACATACCTCTACGTGGGAAGCTGCTCCTCATGGTTTTGGGAGAGATTTTTTATGGGGAATGCTGGATTTTATTCTTTAGATTGCTTTTAAAACTTAGTGGTTTAATTTTCCCATTGTTGGTATTCCCCACAAAGGGTTCTAGCCAGATTAAACTCATCCCCATCTTGCGAGTGTCCTGGGAGACCCTGTTTTAACGATGACTGTTGGGTTCTCCATCTCAGAGGTAGCCCCTCACTCCACTGACAGGAGGATCTAATGGGCTGGCTAATGACCTACTAGGGAGGCTGAACACAGCAAGGTTTGTCTATTGTGGCCCATGTTTACCTAGTGATGGAGCTGTCCTTGCTCTGTGGCGTGTGGGAGCTGGGAGGGAAGAGTCCATTCGTGTCACTGTCTCTACTAACTGGAGAATTTGTCTTTCTGCCCTCAGAAGTACACAGAAATCGAGAAGGAAATGCAGGAGCCTAGGCGCCTGTTAGAACAATGGCATCCAATACCTCTCTCGTTTGAGCACATCCTTAACCATTATAAGCACTTTGTGACAGCTCTTCAGTCCTTTCTACAGAAACCAATAGAAGCCCGGCTTAAAGAAGGTACCTGGGAGAGTGCTGTGAATTTTGCTTTCTCCTGCTCTCCTTTTAAATAAAGTGTGGTCTGTAAGAAAGAGCAGGACTTTTTACCAAATCAGCTGAAGACATCAGCAGCTTTTCAGGCATGGGTACTGTTCTCTGACAGCATTGGTGTAATGTTGCTATAGCAGTGGTGATTTAAGAATGTAAGAGGTTTCTCTTTCAACTCTGAAGATGGCCTTTTGTGCCTTAAAGTTTGTCTGATGCTTTCTTCCAGCTCTATCAGTTACTTCATGCAGCTTACTTCTTCCTGCAGAGCTTACCTTGCTTATATCCCTAGACCACCACACCTACATGACGTAGGTGTTCTCTTCTTTCAGTCACTGTTGGGTGTAAGTGCTCTGGCAGGACATCTGGCAGGCATGGAACATCAGGTACCTGTAAAATTGGAAAGCTTTTTCTAGTTGATGTACCTGGTGATCTTTCTGTCTCAGGCAGTCTGAAGAATTCTCTTTTTTGCTTCTTTAAAGGTGGGTCAATGTGTTCTGCTTAGAGCTCCTTTTGTGTTTGAGCTGGTATTTCATCCTTAAGTGACCTCTGGCATGATTAAGGCAAGGAGTTTCCCAATGGGATGCAAAGTCACAAACCCAAATAACCATGGGGAAACCCTGCGACTTGAGTTACAGGTGAGCAGGGCAATACCAGCTGTCACATTCCACCCAGCTACCTTTTAATAATCCCTTTTCTGAGAGTTGCCACCAAGAACAGTATAGCAGGGTGCTGGGGAAAATGGTCAGACCAGATCTGAAAGGCCACTGCAGGATGTGTGGAGGATTGCTACAGTACAGTGCAGGTGCTTTGTAGCTAGCATCTGCAGTTGTCTTTAGCTGCCTGACTCTGCTCCCCTCTATCAGAGGGGTGCTTTTTGAGGAATGGGAGGTGCTTACTTGGGGTTATGCTCAATTGTGTGGTTCTTTGGCAACACTGGGATCCAGCATCTCCAGCTACCCAAAGAGCTTAGGGTTGAACGTGTACAGACTGAGTACCCCTTCCCCAGCAAAAGTAACACAGTTTGTCCCCTAAAGTTGGAAAGTGGAGTGTGACAGTATGACCTTCCCCAGGACATGGGTGGAATTCACACCAAAGAGGCAAAGCCTGAATACCCTGGTCCAGCAAAATTGCCCATGGTGTTCTATTTTTAAAATCTTCATAGTACAGCCATGTTCTTCTACTGGCAGACTCCCTAAACTGTTAATTTTCATCTCTGCCCAGATGTTTTCAGTAGCCTGAATGCCACTGCAAAGAAGGAGCCTGGAACGGTGTTGAAAACCATGTCTCCTGTTGATCGGTTGCTTTTCTTAAAACGTAAGTATGGTTGAACAAAAGTTAGAAGCACTCCGAACACTTATGGCTCAGTCACTGAAACAGTCAATGAATGTGTGGTGCCACTATCTTAAAACAGTATCTTAAAGGGGTTCTGATGTTTACAGTGTTTGTGAGGAACAAGTGCTCTGCACTGCCTGAAAGTCATTACCCTTTTCTGTACCTCAGGTTGGGAAAGAAATTTTACTTTCTGTCTGTGAAATCTTGATCCTTTGTTTTTATTCAGAACTGCCAGTGTGTCAATCAGCTAGTAGCTAATTTAGTTTTTGAAGACTTTTCTATTCTCCAGATCATTGTGGTCTGTCTTTAATTATGTCCATCATGTAATACGTTAAAGGTCAATCTACAGATGATCCTTTTCTCTGGTGTTGGTAGGAAAAATGTACAGTCAATTGTTCCATCTCTCTGATGGGAAGCTAATGGACATTTCATGTGGCCTGCAGCAGATGAGGACTGTAACTGTTTTTAATCTCAAAGCTGTAACATTCCCTATTACCATGGTACCTAGTGGCAAAAGCCTGTTGTAAGAGGAGGTCTGTTTTCCAGCCTGGATCCAGCCCAGTGGAGGCCATGACTGTGACCAAGTGGACACTTGACTTCTGGCTGTTACTCAGTAAGGAGGGCAAGGGCCAGCACTCTGCTGGTAGAGTGGGTTACATACTGTCCCTGCACCTATGGGGTGGTGTGTTGAGATGGGTGTTTTTCAGTGTTGTTACTTTGTCTTGTTTCTGTGCTCTCCTGAGTGAGCTTTTAAGTCCAAACACTGCAACTTTTTCATTCCAAACAGGTTATCTCAATTGGAGATGAGCAAACAGGTGTTGCACTTGGAAAAGCAGCAGGTGTTAAGAAATCAGGAATGTAATGAGCAAAGTCTGTCTTCTTGGCTGTGATGTTATGGGTCTTTTGCCACTGGCATCATTTCTGTGCTGCAGGATCCAGACTAAGTCAGTCACTTTGTAACCAGAACCTGTTAAGGTGCTAGGACAGCCAGTCTGTGCCACTGAGCACTTGCTACTAAGAGAGCACTGCAGCAGTGTTTGGCTGGCAGTGAACTAGGCTCCTGAGTTTCATGAATGCCATTCTGTATGTCCTTCAGGCTGCCTCTTGATGGATTCATGGAGAAAGCACTGTATTTGCTTCACTTGTGACCAGTCACTTCAAGGGCTGAAACAACAATTTCTCAACTCTGTTAAAGCTAAATATGACAAACCACCTCATTAAGAAAGATGTGCAGCTGCTCATAGGCCAGTGAAATTGACAAACCTTGGTCATAAATATTAGGACTTGAAGTTACTTAAAATTTTCATCACTTGGGAGAAGTGGAAGAATTGCAGTCCTCCAATAATCCAAACAATTCTACCTGTTTTGCATGATTTTTCTAGTCAAATTCACATTTATGCTTCCAAACATTAGCAGCTGAAATCAGTTTGGTGTTTGGGGTTTTGCTGCTTTTTTAAAGCAATGGAGGTATTTCCATTTGCTTGAGATGTAGTAGTTATGTGTTTTATGAAAATCTAGGTTTTTCAGGTAAATTTGACTGACAGACATCACTACTTACTTGCACAGCTTTTCAAGTGGTTACTGGAAAAAGCAGACAGTGAAGCCAGGCCTTTTAAATCCTCTCTACTTTAGATGTCTTTTGGTCTTTAGTGTCACCTGTGTTCTGTACAAACTTAGCATCCCCATTGTGTACTACTTTCTTTTCTTTACACGCAAGTATACTTTACATGCAAGTATAAAGCGCAAGTCTTTGTTGCAATTAACTGTGCTGTGAATGGACCCTCACTGAATGTGAGATGTCCGTTTCTTTGTGGACATTGTAAATAGGCTGTGCACCACAGTGCTGGTGGTCTTTTCACAGCAAACTGTGGGAAACCTTACTTAGCCTTCCCTGCTCATGGCAGGAAATCATGGGAGAGTAACAGAGGACCAACAGAGAATGGAGTGATTTATGCATTGCTCTGATGGCAGAGAGGAGGATTCCAGCCTGAATGAAAACAGCTTCTGGGCTTTAGACTATCGAATATGCCAACTAGCCCAGGTTAGACTTACTTGATTTATGGGAGAGGGCGCTCTGTGAGAACATAGGAGAGGAAATAGCAACAAAGTCAAACGAGCAACAGATTAATGCAGTGGCAAAGACAGATTTCTCTCATACAGTAACCTGCTGTATAATTACCTTTCATTTCTAAATTCAGCACTGAAGAGCAAGGAAAATACTGAAGTTCTTGTTTCAGTGGGTCTGTTGCTCCATGTTGTGTTCAGTTAGTACTATGCTGCCTGTGAAAGACTGTAATCTATGAGATCACAGGTCCAAACGTAGTTCAGATATGCAACACTGCAGAGAAACCAAAGCAGTCTGGATTTTAAAATATTATAAACATGTATTTCCCTAACTTTCATTTTAAAAGTTTAGTTACTCTGAAAAGCAGCTTCAGGATATTAAATGTATTTGCCACGTGGCATTTAAAACATCGAAGCTTCAAAGTTTATCTAGACTAAGATTAAAATTACATTCGGTCAAAAAACCCAGCTATGAACTGAGTGAAATATGACTCAGTTTTTATTGCAAATATTGCTGGATGTATTGTATACTTTGTTTTCTTCACTTACAAGAAAAAATAGATGTGCTCATTCTTTGGAATAGTTTTAAGATACAAACTAAGTTTACATCTTACCGCCAGTGCTTTCTGAAGTACTCTTAATTCATGACAATGTATGTTCCTTTAGGTACCCAACTCCGACACTGTTTTTGTCAGGCTTGACAGGAAGAGTGAAGGGGATTGTTTAAGGATGTCAGATTCTGTTTTCAAAGGGAGTATCTTGGTTATTTGTAGAACAGGAAATCAGAAAACACATGCTAACACAGTAAATTATTGATATAGAGTATATTATGAGAACTTTTCTGAGACATGCACCAGTTTAATATTGTAGGACAGTATATTCAGAGAAGAATCTAATCTTAAAAACCTTGTAGCTTTTTGACCTGTCCTGTGTCATTTCAAACTTGTTTAATTTGATATAGGTTTTTTTTTTTCCCTCTGGCTTTGTGATTTCCAGTCCTGTGACAGCTGCTTCTTGCTAAAACAACTCTTAAGCTGCTGCTGAATTAAGACAGTGATTTCTAGGGTGTAGTTTCAGACTGTGATTTTTCTTTTCTAAATGTCAGGTTAGGTGCTATGAATCCTCTGGGAGCTGGTAAGCTGTTCCTTTGCAATGTACATGATGCTGCTGCCCAGAGCTGTGGTGCTTTTGTGAGAAACACTCTAGTGCATCTTCAAATGTGATTTCAGTGGAATGGGACCTCACAACCCAAGAGTCCGCTCCACTGCTCTCTAAAATCCTTAAGCTGTAATCCCACCAGAAGTCTCCAACTATTCCACATGAAGTAGAAGCTCTCAGTGTTTGTTCCCTACCTAGCTGTATTCATCTTCTGATTTGTGAACCACGCATATACTCTTACATACTTGTCTTTTACTGACCTGCTTTAAAACCTATGCAATGTTAAAGCATCAGTGCATATAAATAGTGCCATGCTTTTGTACCGATCCAATATCGGGGAGGGTTCTTAAACGATCCCAAGAGCAAGATTAAGACACAGACGAGGTCAGATGCCGTACAACCTTACAAGTTTTATTTCCTATAACAACTGATAATAGCGACAGGACAGAGGGAAGAAGAAAGGAAAAAGAGGCAGACCTAAGCAAGAAAATGGGAGAGATGCAGCAAGACTAGTTACCACCACCACGAAGCCAGCAACGTCCTGTTGGTTTGGTCTCGGTGCAAGTGATGGAGGTCCAAGTTCCAGGTTCCAGCAGACAGACAATGACAAAGTCCCAGTTCCAAGCGCTGATTTTCAATCCCTTGCAGTTCCTTTCAGTTCCTTTTTCAGTCCCTTTCAGTTCCTTTTTTGAGGGAGGAGTATGCAAGTTTTTCCGAAGAGTCCAGCCATTTCCACAGAGACTGCTAGCTTCAGGTGGATATGGTGGTTTCTTCAGGGCTTTCAGCGCCTACTCCCCCACAGCAACAGGATGCTGACGCTAGCAAATGGTCAGCAATGTTGAGACAAACATAGTCGAACACAGTCTCTTACAGCTTTCTATTAAAAATTTTCAGGTTTTTCCTTGCAAAACTGCAGGTTCCAAGACACTGCCAGCTGTGAGCTCCTTTGCAGGTTTTTTATAACTTGGTCACGATAAATCTACTAAGTATTTTTATGGTTTTGACTGCAGATGCAAGATCACCAGCCTGGGAATATGACAGCCTTCACCCAAGGCTGAAATTGTCTGGTGACCGTCTTGTAGTAAGCTGTAACTGGAGGAAGATATTTTACCCTTGTGGTCCCCAGAGATTTGATAAATTATGGCAAGTGCTAAGCAGAGATGCATTCCTCTCTGGGAGCCATTACTGGGAAGTTGACCTGCTTCACGCTGGAAAAGGATGGTGGATTGGTGCAGCCTACCCTTCCATTGGCAGGAAAGGAGACTCTGAAACCTGTCGACTGGGCTGGAATAGAGCATCTTGGTGCCTTAAGAAATTTGATCTTGAATACTGGGCATTTCACAAGGGGGAGAGAATCCCCATCCTGGTAGAAGATGATCCTGATCGCATTGGTGTTTTTCTGGATTATGAAGCAGGAATCCTTTCATTCTACAATGTTACTGATGGCATGGCTCATTTGCATACCTTCCGCTGCAAGTTCACAGAACCAGTTTACCCAGCTGTGAGGCTCTGGGAAGGGTCCATTGGAATGTGCAGACTAACATAATGAAGCAAAATAAAGCCTACTATTTCATGCTTTTTCTATGAAAGCCACTTTAGCAATGATCTAAATGAATTAATCTCTGTCATGTGAAAGCTGTAACTGTGATGCTTGTAGAAGATAATAGTTAAGTTCAAGAAAACCAACTGTAATTTCTAATGTATATGCTCTTTTCAATGGGGGAAGCTGATCTGGCTTTTATAAATCATGTTGTCCTGGGTTCAGCTGGGATAGAGTTAATTTTTTTTTTTTTACAGGAACCTGGGAGGTGGGGGGCATAGCCGGGGCAGCTGACCTGAACTGGCCAAGGAGCTATTCCATACCATGTGACATCATGCTCAGTATATAAAGGGGGAGCGGGCCGGGGGGTGGGCTCTTCTTTTCGGTGGGGGAAGTGGCAGAGCGTCGGGTCCCGGGTGGTGAGCAGTTGCACTGTGCATCACTCTTTTTGTATACTTTTTCATTAGTACCGTTGTTGTTGTTGCAATTTCTTTGTGTTGTTCCAGTAAACTGCCTTTATCTCAACCCTCGAGGTTCCAGGTTTGGTTTTTTTTTTCCTCTCCTCCGTCTTCCCCCTATCCCACCGGAGGGGGGCGGGAGGAGTGAGCGAGCGGCCGCGTGGTCCTTTGTTACCGGCTGGGCTGAAACCACGACACATGTCAATGTACCACCTAAAATGCCATATATAATATTTTTTGTACTTTTTTCAACTTGTGAAATGGAAAAAGTCTGGTTGAAAGAAGCATATTAAAATTCAGATTTGAACCTGGATATTGGCATTTTTTTCATGAACTCCCTCCGCTCACCTGGCTGGAGAGGCTGCAATTGTGACAGTAATAGGTTTAGTTTGGTCCAAGCTTCAAATTCATATATTGCATATTATCATAGTCAACAAGGTCAGATTTGGATAATAAATGCAGTAAGTGAACTAGCTCATACTTAAGTATCATCTCAGAAAAACAGAAGACTGCCACTGACTATTGGAAAGGTCACTTCAACAAAGCTGAAGTAAAAGCTTCTGTAGCCACACTTAATAGCCATTAGCTGGTCTTACTTCTGACAGAGACTCTGAACTGGGCTTCTGCATGGCCCTGTTCTTCCCACACAGAGTGGAAGCATAAGCAACAGTTGTGTGCCACCCCAAAAGAAGATGAAATGCCTGGAGGACCCACAGGTGCAATAAAAATATGAGGTCAGTGGGGGACTTGTGCTTAATTTATTTTTGTGTCCCATTTGCAAAGGTTCTTTAAGGGCAACTGGATAAAGGTATGCTCACATAAAACTAGGAGAGACAGCGTGCAAGTTTCTGTATAGGGATAACTTATTTTTTTTCCCCCACTACCTTAATTAAAGTCCTGGAAATTTTTGGAGCCTATATTTACAGCAGCCTCTAGGACTAGCCTGGCTGGAGTGAAGAACCACTGCTACTTGAAACAGGTCAGGTAATCTTACAATGTTCAAATACTAAAGGCCCTGCAATCATCACTGGTGCTGGCAAAGGCAAGGTCTGACCATAGGCTTAAACACAGAAATAACAGCTTGTTTTATAAGCTAAATTTATTTTTCAAATTTGAAAAAAAAAAAAAAATCTTTTAACAGTTAAGTAGTTTTTTAATGTAAGGCAAGCATACTGCATCAGTCAGAGCTCATATATGGTCAAGCACATGATTCAAAGAATCTCTGCTTCCCAGTTGAAGATACAAATAGTTTCCATAGAATTGCAGAATGGTAAACATTTTGGAACTGAACAGCGCACAGGTACAGAAATACCACCACCAAATTCAAGATACTTCACCAACTCATGACCAAGAGGTAGCAAGTTCCAAATAACCATCACTAGTATGTCACTGCACCACAGAAAAATGCAGATCAGTAACACCAAAGCAGTTCTGTGCTCACCAAGCTAATTGAGGGATATCTGGTTTTGCAGCTGCTGCCACACAGCTCCTTCCTGGACACAGGGAAGAACAGCAGACTGATAGGAGTGGGACTGCATTTCTTACTTGACAATCGAGAAGCTGTGGTGCAAGAGCGGAGCACACAAGATGAGCACTGACCATCATACTGAAACATAGTGATGTGATCTAGACAAGCAGCCAGCCTCAGCTGTCTCAAACACTAGTGTCGGGGGAAAAAAACTCATCCCAATGTATTTGCTTGTTAGTACAGGAAGAAAGCTGCTGAATCTTCACCAGCATTTGGCTTCCTACCTAAGAAGTTGCCCCCAGGTACAAATACAGGTATCTTAAATGCACTCCAGAACTGATTTAAGATCCCAGGCTTCACTCAGCTCACAATAGATGCTTTTGACATTTTTTTGAAGCATAGGTTAAGTTTACTTCCACTGATCCATCTCAGATCTACTTTCACCCCTTAATCTGTCTGGCTTGCCCTCTTGCCTTTCAGTTCACAAACAGGCTCTTTCTCTTGTCCCTTAAATGGGACCTTTCTACATACCCAATTTGCTTCCTTTCTTGGTACTGTCTCTTGAGAACCTAGCTTTCTCAAGGAGCTCATTTTCCCCACAGTGCAGATTCTGCAACCCACTGCTTTATCTTGAGACTTCTTAAGGATTTAATCTTGAGAAAAATCCATCAGGTTGCATGTGTAGTTTTCTGTTCAGTGTATGTAAACTTTGACTTATCTGCATTCAACTCCAACTAGCATCCTGTTATCACAGGAGTGAGGAAAACAGCAGAAAAGAGAGGTACATCAAAAGATACAGGGTTAGAACAATTCAAAGTGTAGACAAAATTATTGTGATTTACTGTATTCTTACCAGAAAAGGGAAGCTGGAAAGCAGCTGACTGTGGTCTTAGATTGGGCAAAACTCCAAATTAATCTAGGTTAAGTGGAATGGAGAAAGAAGGAGCATGGTATTTTCTAGACACAATGCTATACAGTTTCTAATAGAATTGCTCTTCATAATTTATATCCACTTGCTTCAGAAACTTCCTGCTAATGAGAACCTGAAAACCTAACTTGCTTGGATCCTCATAATCACACCCCTTTCTTCTAAACAACCATGCCGCTATACTTAAGTATGTTGTGTAGAAGTGCAGTACTGTATCATGAAATATGGAATGGAGTGCTTCAGTTCAGCACTTCACGTTTTTGACATGATTTTCCACTGCTTGCTCAGTGATGGTTTCATCTTCTTCGATATTTTTTTTAACCTTCTGGCCCACCAGATCGAAGATGGCTTCTGGGGGAAATCCCTTAGGCTCTCCCACCTTCACTGTCAGCATGTCAAGTGTCAGTACTGCACCTTCAGGAATTGTCACTTTTGCCACAACAGACTTGCCCAGCAACAGAGGAGAAAAAAAAAAAAAAAAAAAAAAAAAGAAGTTTAAATCAAACACATTCCTAGGCTTAGTATGCCAAAAATGGCTAAAAATAGTCTGCAGTTACTTGGGAACAGGTCATGTGGAACTCCCCTCCCCATTATTTCTTATTCCAAATGAAGGCTGAATTAGCGTGGAAACCCTTCATTGTAACTAGGCTGCTGCAAACATCCAGATCCTTTCTGAAATTGGTTAATGGCTCACTGGAATTTTTCAGAATCAGAATGGAGGTAATCTGATTAGACTGACTAGTGTCCTAGCTTAGTGTAAAAGCAGCTCATATACAGTCAGAGATATCTATTATTCCTATTACTATTACTGAGTGCTTTGTACTTGGCACTGGTGAGGCCGCACCTTGAATGCTGCGTTCAGTTTTGGGCCCCTCACTACAGGAAAGACATTGAGGTATTGGAGCATGTCCAAAGAAGAGCAATGAAGCTGGTGGAGGGTCTAGAGAACAAGTCCTATGAGGAGCAGCTGAGGGAACTGAGGTTGTTTAGTCTAGAGAAAAGGGAGGCTCAGGGGAGACCTTACTGCTCTCTACCTCAAGGAGGTTGTAGCAAGGTGGGTGTCTGTCTCTTCTCCCATGTAACAAGTGATAGGACAAAAGGAAATAGCCTCAAGTTGTGCTAGGGGAGGTTTAGATCAGATATTAAGAAAAATTTCTTCACTGAAAAGGGTTATGAAGTGCTGCAACAGGCTGCCCAGGGAAGTGGTTGAGTCACTAGCCCTGCAGGTATTTAAAAGACATGTAGATGTGTTGCTTAGGGACGTGGTTTAGTGGTGGACTTGTCAGGGTTAGGTTAATGGTTGGACTCTATGATCTTAACATGATCCAACCTAAATGATTCTGGGATTCCACTCAACTTACTTAGTGCCAGAAATAGCAGTTTATAGAAAATGACAAGTCTACACTGTGGTTACAGTGGGCTAAGCATAAACACTGCATGCTGCTACTTAGCAGCATAAATTTTTGAGTGCAGAGGCAGAAACACTGCTGCAATAAACAATTACCAAGCTATTTTTCTGAATGTAGAGTTATTAGCTATGGGTCTAAACGAGTTTCAGCTGTACATGAATCAAAAGCAGAAGTTACCTTTTCATTGCAAGCCATTTCACAGGGCAAGAGTTGTTTGACTGGAGAACCCATTGCTTTTTCCACAGTACGGATGGCTTTCACTAACTCCGCCAGTTCATTCGGCTCCAGGGATGCTTGGTGGTCACTTCCTTTCCATGTTTTGTCAAGAGTCACATGGCGTTCCACTACTTTAGCACCCATAGCAACAGCTGCCACTGAAATGGCTATGCCAGTTTCATGCCCCGAATAGCCAATGGGGATATCAGGAAAAGCTGACTGATATGCCTTGAATCATGACAAAGTTGGTCTGAATTACCAAGGTAGCAATTTCAAAGATAAAGCAAATTTAACAGTGATATTTGCAATAAAAACCATGGATAATTACTGTGCCACAAAACAAGCAGTTGGTTATGCTGAGAATGGATTTTTTTTTATGGTCAACAAGTCACACTGCTTTATCAACTGTTATGTTCTAAGAATTTCATTTGGATTATCAATACTGACAAGGACAAGGAGGTACGTTCAATTCTACAACTGCTCTTAATCCTTTTCCTTTTAATTCAGTTGTACTCTTCAAGGTCTTCAAAGCCTGCACCACTGTAAGTTACAGTAATAGAGTAGTGCTCTATTTTCATCCAAGAATCCAGTGGACTGGTTAAACTTAACCTGTATCCAAAGCAAATTTCTTCAACCCCATACTTAAAATCTGAAGCAATCCTTTCAGCCATACATAGGGGACAGTCACCCAATCCTAAAGGCAATTAAATGCAGCCATGTCCC